GTAAACTAGAATCCTTGCTACTATTAGCTGTAAACAACTCCTACTGGTTTAATAAAAGCTGGCCCCCTATTCTTAAATCTCTAAATAGATTAAAAAATATTGGTTATCCTTGTGTAACATCCCTAATTCTACCCTATTTTGAAACCAGCTATGAAGCTATATTAATAAACCCTAAAATCACTCTGAATTTAAACATTAATAAAAATTCCCCCACTGCAAACAGAACTTTCTACAACCTTGTGGCAAAAAAATGGTCTGATTGGCTATATATTTTTACTGATGCTTCCAAATTGTCTCCATTCAAATGTGTCGGTTCCGCAGTCTGGATCCCCAAATACAAAATTGTCCTTAATTATAGATGTCCTCCTCAAGCTTCTGTTTTTACTGGGGAAGCTGTAGCCATATATGAGGCTATTTCCTATATTCTTTCCCATAAAATTCCTAAGTCAGTTATATTTACTGATTCAAAAAGCTGCCTAATGTCATTACAGAGCAATATATTTAAAATGAATTCCATCTCCCCATTAATACTGAAAATTAAGGAACTCATACTAAATTGTAATAAGAGTGGGCTTGATGTGGAGATTGTGTGGATTCCTAGTCATTGTGGTATAGAAGGAAATGAACAGGCTGACTCTTGGGCCAAAGGAGCTGTTGATACTGGCTGTCCTTCTCATTTAATGATTTACTCTCATGATCTAATGTCATTAGCTCAAATTGAATTAAAGAACTCTTGGAACAGAGAATGGAGCACATCCAGACATATTAAAGGTTGTCACTTTGGTAAAATTCAACCCCAAATCCCTCCAAAACCTTGGTTCTTTAAATTTAGCTTTTTGAACAAACAAATCACATCTACAATCTGCCGTTTAAGGCTTGGGCATGCCTGCACTCCTGTATTTCTAGCTAAAATTAGAATCAAAGATCATTCCCTCTGTGAATGTGGACTGGATGAAGGTACCCCAGACCACATTTTCTTTAATTGCCAAAATCACCCAATTTCTTTATATGACATTCTTCCCAACACAATCCCTCGACCAATGAATATCAATTCCCTCTTAACTATCCCCAATTCCATATATGTCAATATGATCTCAAAATATATTCAAATGTATAATATTAAACTCTAATTATCGTGTACTAAATTTAGCTTAAACTAATTCTCTATTCCCTGCCCAGGCTAATTCTCTCCTATAACTAGATGTTTGCTCTATATTGTGTGGTCCATAATTTATGTATTTAGATGCTTTGTTTTTATCCATATTTTCACCTAATAACCGCTAACTCCTTTTCCACCGAAAAGCCTAAAGACAAGGTGCGACAGACCAAGGACCGGACATTGGCAGAATTATTGTGACATAATCACAATACCAAGGGCCAAATAGACCAAATAATAAATAAATAATAATAACTTTATTGAATCAATAGCTAATAGGAAGATAACTAGAAACTTCAGAAACCGGGCCATGTTCTTTCTATATTCTATGTCAGCTATGTTCTTTTACACGGGTTTTTATAGATCGTTTTGTTTGTCCCATGTAAGAGAGACCACATGCACAATCCAGCTTGTACACTCCTGCATCTTGTAGAGGGATATGACACTTGACGGATGGTAAAAATTGGCTCATCTTTTTCAGCAGCTTAAAGTATGTTTTAATGGAAGCTCGCTTCAAAATATATGCAACCTTGTCTGTGACTCCTCTGACATAGGGTAGTGCAGCAGACATACGCTCGACTATGGCCGGCTTCACTTGGTCAGCCTATTAACTCTGCGATATTATTTCTGAATTATTAAAACATCAAAAAAATACCAAACACTTTAAACACAGGGCCTTTAATATTAAAATGTGGTAATAAATCATAGTTCTTAAGTAGACAGACACTTGAACCATACGAATAAGGTTTTAGAAATGGAACTAAAGATATAAGATTTTCCGGTACCGTCTACTTCTTCTCTTAATTGCTTACTACCTAAGTAATAAACGATTTATGATAGTAGAAAAACGCTTTATTAAAATAAAAAAGTGATGTTTTTGTTTTATTTCTAAGCCTTTAAATTTTACGCCCTAAAACCCTAAATCAAGGATTTTGGGAGACTATTTATGTATTTAGGGCAATTATGAAAAAAAAATCTAGGGCACAATTAAAACCTGATAGTGGAAACACTGGCAGAAACCCTTAATTTACCATAATAGCAGAGATAATCTAACTGGATCGGTTACTCCTGCGATCTCATAAAATCGTAACAATGAGTTTGCCCCGTATTCCTTTTTTTGATTGTGATGCTGCCAGAAATAGTAAAGCCCCGGGGGGCATTGGGGGAAAATATAAGGGTATAAAGGGATGGAATAAATATGTAAAAGAATTTCATAACAAGGTAAGGATTAAGTTAAAAATGTGGATGTGGTATGGCCAACCTAGTAGAGGGCCCATTTTCGAAGATATGAGACTATCGCGTAAAATATTTAAATCTAAATTAAAATGGTGTATTAAAAATCAAGAAAAAATTAAAATGGATATATTAGCCTCACTCCATTCTAAAAATTTCAAAAATCAGTAAAATCATTTCCAAAAAGTTTCTCATCTTTTTGGAAATGTACTAGGAAGTTAAATAATACTGCATGTCTTCCAGGTAGCATGGAGGGTAAGAGTGATTATACTGAGATAGCAAATCTCTTTAAAGATCTCTTTAAAGATTTTAAAGTCAGCTCACCTCTTGAAACTGTGCATAGGATGAACGATGCAGAGTCAAGTCAGTCTCAATCACCACTGAGGATAACATTTAAGGAACTAACATCCGTTATTAAAAGTATGAAGAGGAGTAAATCTCCTGGACATGACGGACTCAGCATCGAGCACTTTCAAAACGCTGGAATAAATTTACCAAGAGTGTTGACCATGTTCTTTAATCTATGTTTAGGCCATTCTTACTTACCACAGGAGCTTCTGGATAATATAGTCGTGCCTATTATTAAGAATAGGAGGGGAGACATAGCAGACATGTTTAATTACAGACCAATTTCACTGGTGACCGTAATAGCAAAAGTATTTGACAGTGTGCTCTACTCTCGCCTCAGTGAATACATAAAGATACACGACTCACAGTTTGGTTTTCGCCCGGGACCATCCACTGAGAGTGCTATTTTTGCATTGAAGCACACTGTCAAATATTACACTGACAGAAATACACCCGTGTATGCTTGTTTCCTGGACCTTTCAAAAGCCTTTGACCCGGTTTCCTACAATGTTCTGTGGGAAAAGCTTCGGGAGGCGGGAGTTCCTGCTTCATTAGTGTTTACGTTATCTATGTGGTATGTCAAGCAAAGAAACTTTGTAAGGTGGTCCAATGCATTGTCTGACCCTTACAAACTTGAGTGCGGTGTGAGGCAGGGAGGTCTTACCTCTCCGAGGCTTTTAAATATCTATATTAATAAACTGATTGGCGAGCTTAGCAGCACACATGTTGGTTGCCATATAGACGGAGTAAGTCTAAACAACTTGAGCTACGCAGACGATATGGTGCTACTGAGCCTGTCAATATGTGGAATGCGAAAGTTGCTTGCCATTTGTGAGGATTATGCTGATCAACATGGATTGAAATATAATGCTGATAAAAGTGAACTGTTGGTTTTCAGAGGTAGAAATAAAAGTCCAACATATGTCCCTCCAGTAAAGCTTAACGGTTCACTTTTACAGAGAGTAACCCAATTTAAATAACTGGGTCATATTGTGACAGAAGACTTAAAGGATGACCTAGATATCGAAAGGGAACGCAGGGCGCTAGCTGTGAGAGGTAACATGGTGGCTCGAAGGTTTGCTGCTTGCTCTGTACCAGTTAAAATTACACTGTTCAAGGCTTTCTGCCAATCATTTTACACCAGCAGCCTTTGGGCCAATCATACCCAAAGCGCAGGAAATACCCTGCGTATCCAATATAACAATGCCTTCAGGTTGCTGTTGGGGCTTCCATCTTATTGTAGTGCATCAGGCATGTTCGCCGATACCCATACTGATGATTACTTTGCGATCATGCGTAAAAAAGTGGGATCATTGATGCACAGAGTGAGGAAAAGCTCGAATAGTGTCTTGAGGGTCTTTGCGGAACGGCTAGATGGCCCGATACTGGATAGGTTTGTTAAGCTACATTTATTAAGTGGAGCTTGATAAAACCCCCAAATTTTTCATATATTTCTGTCTTGTTTTATTTACTAACATTAGTTCTTAAGTTTTATTTTCTATTACTAACACGTTATGGGCCTACGATGCCTGAAAAATAAAACATTTTTTTTTTTATTATTAATTCTATATAAGACATTGACTATAAATGAACTCATTATTTCAAAATTTTATGCACGATGTGTGATCATCGTCGAAAGCAAGTTAAGTATTGTGCAAATAATAAGCACAAAATCATCTGATCACTTTCTGCCGGTTTCCTATAATAGGAGAACAACAACTTATGACAATATGAATTTATTGACCGTTATTTGTAGGGATAATTACTATATTGACTCGAATTGCATCTGTTTCAGATTACGTATATGGGCTGAGTTCAGTTTTCACCATGAGAATTTTGCTGATTTAAATTTACGTTAATGTTCTGTGAAGAATAACTCTCTGACAATAACATGTGTTATATATCAGTAACAAGCGTGGAAATATTATGTGCAAAAGCAATAAAAAACATCAATAATAATGTATAGTTTATAAAACAATCTGTCGTCCAGAAAATAAAGTTACATAACTATACTCATTTATAGTTTTATTTTATCCCACTTACTAGTCTAAAGTATATTCGAGTAATTTTGGTGCAACCTCTTAAATGTATGGAAATTTACCACATAGGTTTGTGCCAAAATTACTCGAATATGCCTTAAATAAAAAGTTTAAAGTTACAGAATAAAAAAGTTTGAAATTCCCGCGAAAAAAGTTTCATATGGGCGCCCACTGTGGCGCTAGAAGTATAAACGTATAGACGCGTTTCAGTTTTTTTTTAATTTGGAGATAGCGTTCTTCTCTTGGTAGAGAGTAATTTGTGTTCTGTGCTCGCGGATCTCGTAATGAACAGTTGATTAAATCTGTCACGGATACTTGGAACAAAACGCACACGAGATGCGAAGTGCGACGATCAATGCCAAGATGAATGCCCTCAGATTTTTGGTTAGAAAATTAGCAGGCAAACGAAACAAATGGCGTACAATGTTTATTATTTCTTTAAAGCTAGAAAACAAGATCGAAGTTCTACGGAGTATCAAGACGTAAACGTGAACAAAATTGTTGCACAAGAAACAGGACTCTCATTGTCTACTGTAAGTAAAATTATTAAAGAAAAATGTAACGACCTGAAACGTAAACAGAATAGCGCGGTTTTTAAATCGCCAAAAAAAAAAGAAAGAAATCCGGAAGAAAAAAATTTAAAAAGATAATTTTACAGAAGGCGTAATAAGACGAAAGGTTTTTCTATTCTATAAAGGTTTTTTTCAATTTTATACTATTTTCAAGAAGGTTCCTAAATTAAAAACTAAATGTTAACTTACTTAAAGAAGATTGAATTACGGCATACCATCCTCAATCAAACGGAATAGTCGAACGATGGCATCGTACATTGAAGACCGCACTCAAAACTCGTTTATCTCAACATACAAAGTGGATTGATGAGTTGCAGACGAGAATATTTGAGAATATTTTTGCACAAACTTGGCTTTAGAATTAAGAAATGTCAGTCGAAAAGAAAGGTACTTATTGAACATCCAAATATAGTATCTTGGCGATGAAGATATCTGAATGCGATAAAGAAGGACAAGATCAGAGGAACATTGTTTACCTCGATGAAACATACGTCGAATCCTACTTAAATGTCTCATCGTGTTGGCAGTCTACAGAAGAAAGAAGAATGCTGTTACAAATTGACAAAGAGCCACGTTTAATGATTGTCAATGCTGGAGGTGGATTTATCAATCAAAAAATTTTTAAATCAAAAAGTAAATACGGAGATATGAATTTTCAAAATTTTATAAGATAAAAATGTCATGATCGTCATGTATTATCATTCTGTACAAGAGGATAGAAAGTCCACGATGCCGTCAACGAAAAGCCGACATGCAGGCCTGGCTGCAAAGACATAACATGGACTTTAATATTTCTAATACAGATCTCAAAATGTTTATAAAATTGACGAAGTGTTAAAGGCTGCGGGTCACGAAATCTTACGCACTTCCACCGTACCACCCAGACGTGAAACCGATTGAGTTGGTATGGGGAGATATCAAGGGACAACTCGCAAGAGATGAACTTGATAGCAATTTGGATAATTTAAAATTAACAACCGACTTCAATATAAATTATTAAGAATAACTCGAAAACTATTAGTCAGACCTTGATTAAATTTATATAGGGCCACATGAGAAGCACCAGTTTTCTAATAAAAAAAAGAATAATAGATATCGGTTCACCTAGAAAAAAGTTATGAGGCAACACACAAAATAAAATAAAAACATACAGTCAAATTGAGTACCTCCTCCATTTTGAAGTCGGTTGATAAAAGTAAAAAATTTGCAGCAGCTGGAGCAATTATTAGCCGAATTCTCTGTAGAAAAATGCTAAAGCTGTAATAGCCATGTCCACAAAATTGAGAACGAATATTATCAACACGAACTAATATTGTCAACACGATCAAATACTCGATGATGTTATGGATCAAATGATAATTAATTTACAAGACGATTCTGACTCATCAAGCTGCACTTAAAGCCGTGGTAGCTCAGATGGTTAGCGCTCGCTGTAAGCTTCACAGTGCTCGAACAACCCTGGTTCGATCCCCGCCGGAACCAATGAAATTGTTAATTGCAATTTTAAGTGCTAGTTTACCACGTGCTCGGCGGTGAAGGAAAACATCGTGAGGAAACCTGCATGTCTGAGAAATAAGAAAAAAATATTTCGAAAACATGTGAAGTTCGCCAACACGCATTAGGGCAGCGCGGCGGACATTTCCTTGCCCTAAAACCCTCTCAGAAATGAGAGGAGGCCTGTGCCCAGCAATGGGACGTAAATAGGCTGCAACTTTACTTTATTTACTTTAAGCTGCACTAAAAGAGAAAATAATTCAATTGAGAATGATAGTAGCGAGAAAGAATAATATTTTTTATATTATATATTAACTACGTGTGCCTGATCCCACCCCGCGTACCTCCACACTGCGCGGCCAATCTGCCAATTAAGTAGTTTACCTAAATACGGAAAAGCGAGAACAAATCACTTTTCATAAAGCGTAGTGACATGGTTTATGAAAATTTCTTTACCTAAAACCAAACTTAAAACTAATATTATATTATTGTATATAATTTTTGGTACCGATTTTGTTAATGGTTAAAATAAAAAAATATGATCAAAATTTTTAAATTATGTATAATACTCATATTTTTAAAATTTTTCAATATATTAAATTATACACTTTCGATATGTTCTTCAAATAACATTATATACATAAATAATATAAATAGACATGCTTAATAACTTTCAGTTTTACTCGACATCCTCCTCATTATAAACTATATCATTATCAGAATAATTATCAGATTCATCATTTGTATCATTGTCAGATTCATCACTTTCAGATTCTGATGCGCTTTCAAGTTCTATGTTATATACAAAAAATTTGTTAGCATAACATGTGTTACTGTTAGGGACAATTAATATCTCATAGCTGCTTTTCGCTATCTCTTTGTTATTATATGGTATATAACAAACTCTATGTGACGGTTGTACTTTGCCTGGTATAAGATGGCCCTCATGTGCAGCACGGCCCACATAAAGTTTTTCTCTGCCATCATCTTCCGAAAAGCCACCAACTACTGCACCAACTGGTATTTTATCTACACGACTGGGAACCCAGATGCAATTGTACCCACAGAGCACCTGAAAATTGTGAACACAAGTTGTAAGAAAGAAAGTAAGCAATTAAATCTCTGATAATTGGGTTAATTATTGAAATAATATGTTTGCTTAAAATTATTTAGTATAAAAAAGCAAAGGATATTTTTACTTCTCGGTTTCATAAATAGTGTCTCTATCGTGCTGTGTAGTGGCGGTTAAGAATATCCACGACCACACATTTTCCCGTGCGTGTCGTAAGAGGCGAAAGCATCTTCCTGATAACACCAATATTACAATAACAAAAATGCGGTTGCTAACTCGCTCGGCAAGCGTAGCAACTATGGTAAATATGAGTGAAAAACCATGGTGAAAGTTACGAATAGACGGCTTCCAGTTAACGGCGGCCCCACTATTCCTGGCTACGGTGGCGACCATGGTAACGGCGGGGCAGGGGGTGCTAAGAAACTCTGGTCGACGTTCGGTTGCCACCTAAGACGACTCGACCTGGCAACATACAACGCACGCACCCTGAGGACTGACGAAAAGATTCTGGAGCTGCAAGAAGAGAAGGACAAGTTGAGCTGGCATATTATAAGATATCTGTGGTCCAAAGGGGAGGACACGGTAATCCTCGAATCCGGCAACTTATTCTATCGTTGTAGAGGTGTCGGATTTATCGTCCACAAGTCTCTCGTTAACAACGTTGTAAAGATTTTGAGTGACGACGAGGGTTGCGTACCTTATACTCAGAATCACCAAACGGTATTCGTTGAATGTCATATAGGTTTACGCACCAACCTCGGCACATTCCGATGAGGAGGTGGAGAAAATGTATAAGGATATCTCTAAAGCCATGCATTCCTCCAAAACCCACTATACGGTGTTAATGGGAGACTTCAATGCAAAACAAGGCACAAGAGAGAACGGTGAGCTGAAGGTAGGGAAATTCGGAATAGGGCAACGGAACCCAAGGGGACAGCAGCTGGTCGACTTCATGGAGAAAGAGGGACTCTTTCTCCAACCAGTCGACCATCGACCAGGGAGGGTTAAAACCGGCAGCGATCACCGAATGGTTAGAGGCATACTGTACCTAAACGATAAGTTGGAGAGGTCACGTCTAATGAATTCAACGCTCCGTCCCCCTCTAATCCAAAGTCCCGAAGCCTTTCAGCTCGAGTTACATAATCCGTTTTCAGTGCATAGAAGATTACAACGCAGTGGACGACATGAATAACAAGCTCGTGGAAACTGTCCATGCGGTCGGAGCAAGTTTTGCAAGATCCGCCACATAAGAACACAAAAACTCTCCGACCACACTCTTAATCTCATGGCTGTTAGACGGGAAATGAAGCTGCAGAAGTTGCAGGAAGAATGGGTCGACTCGACCGGGCTGAGATCACGCTCTCACAGAATATCAGCGTAAAATAGCAGCTTAATTCAGCTGTGTTTCTTATGGTGAGTGTGGAATAAAGAAAGGACTTGCTGTAATCAGGCGTCTAGTTCACTGATACCACAATTCACCACCAATAACAGAACAGAAACTTTTTTATTCAATATAGAAATAATACTTATTGAAAGTCACTCTTTTGTTTGATTACCAATGGTTCGGAAAATACCTCTGTCCTGGGAAGAACCAGCAAGAACCCCAGCGGGACTTTTTTTTTAAATAACAGCTTACAATCATGATGTTACACAAATTAACAACACAACAAATTAGAAATAGCTTGGTAGCGATCACCTCATTTCCAGGGGTTATTATCATCCATAAATTCCTTATTATTATAATAACCCTTTTTATACAAACTTAGTTTAACAAAGTTTTTGAACTTTGAGCAGGTCAAATTTTGTATATTTTCTGGAATTTTGTTGTAAAAGCGTATACATCGCCCCAAGAATGAATTACTGACTCGATTGAGTCGAGTAACTGGTACTACTAGCTTGTGTCTGTTCCTAATATTTACAGAATGAATATCATTTATTTTTGTAAAACTACTTTTATTTTTGTGTACGTACATTACATTTTCATAAATGTATTGAGGGGCCAAAGTTAATATATTAATTTCCTTAAATTTTTGTCGCCGCGACTCTTTAGGCTTTAAATCATTTCAGTGTCAGCTGCGTGTCCCCATAGCAAAATACCATACGACATTATGCTATGGAAATAGCTAAAGTAAATTAGTCTAGCTGTTTCAACACTGGTAAGACTTCTAATCTTTTTTACAGCATATGCTGCAGAACTAAGTCTGCTTGCTAGTTTTGATATATGGGGGCTCCATTGAAGCTTCGCGTCTAGTGTGATTCCAAGAAAAATGGTGGTATCTACAAGACTCAGTTTCTCCCCATTTAAAATTACATTAGTATTTAATTTTGTGACATTTGGAGTCATGAATTTCATACATTTCGTTTTAGTGCCATTTAAATGCAAATTATTAACATTGAACCAATCTACAAATTTAGATATAGCATTATTTACTTCGTCATATTTTAGTAATTGTCGACTTAATTTGAAAATTAAAGAAGTGTCATCTGCAAATAATACTATATCATGGTTATCCCCTACTATGTAAGGTAAGTCATTAATGTATACAAGAAACAGAAAGGGGCCGAGAATTGAGCCTTGAGGTACGCCCATTTGTACCATCGATCCGGAAGAGCTCATATTGTTAATGACAACTTTTTGCGTTCTCTTACTTAAATATGAAATAATTAATTTAAGAGCATCACTTCTTACACCGTAGTGTTGAAGTTTCCTGATTAATGTTTCATGGTGAACACAATCGAAGGCCTTGGATAGGTCACAAAATATACCCAAAGCATCCTGTGAATTCTCCCATGCATTAAAGATATATTTAATCAGCTCAACACCGGCATCAGTTGTCGAGCGACCCCTTGTGAAACCAAATTGATTTTTATGAAATAAATTGTTTATATTAAAAAAATTTAACATTTGATCAAGAACAATTTTTTCAAAAATCTTACTAAGTGTTGGTAGTACAGAAATAGGTCTAAAACTGGCGGGGTAAAGGTAAAATACGAGGGTGGATTGAAAAGTACTCGGCCTATCACAGATCCATTCAATTCTAAAAATCAAATCTACGCACATTATTTAGTTCAGTTCAGACTAGTTCATTGTGTGAAGTTCGAAACGTGTGCGATAATTAGTTGTGATTTTATAAATTAATTAACAAAGTAATCGGACATAATTTCCGCGAATGGAGCAAATCGAGCAGCGTGCCGTCATTAAGTACCTCCATAAGAAGGGGCTATCATCAAAAGCCATCCATGATGACATGGTCAGTACATTAGGCGACTGTGCTCTGTCATATTCATCCGTCAAAAAATGGATAGCAGAATTTAAGCGTGGTAGAGAGAGTGTGAAAGATGAACCCCGCTCTGGAAGGCCTTCGACGTCAACTACTGACGAAAATATTAAAAAAGTACTTGATTTAATAATGGGAGACCGCAGATTAAAAATTAGAGAGATAGCCGAGATTATAGGCATCTCTTATGAACGAACTCAAAATATCATTGTCAACGAGTTGGGTTTCCACAAGGTGTCTGCGAGGTGGGTTCCGCGACTGCTTTCAGTTGAACAAAAAAGGACGCGATTGACTATTTCAGGCGACTGTTTGAGAGTTATTTGAAGCCGATGCAGATGATTTTTTTAATCGTTTTGTTACTATGGACGAAACATGGGTTCATTACTGTACACCGGAAACAAAACAACAATCAAAACAGTGGAGAAGACCTGGTTCACCACCCCCTAAAAAGGCTAAGTCGATTTTGTCGGCAAATAAGGTGATGGCTTCAGTATTCTGGGACTCGAAAGGTGTGATTATGATTGATTATCTTGAAAGGGGTCAGAATATAAACTCTGATTACTACTGCACCTTACTACGTCGTTTACGAGAGGAAATAAAAGAAAAACGTGGAGGAATGCTCAGAAGAAAAGTCCTGTTTCATCAAGATAACGCCCGTGTTCACACGTCAGTACAGTCAATGGCTGAAATTCACAACTGTGGCTTTGAACTGTTACCGCATCCGCCGTATTCACCTGATCTGGCACCATCAGACTTCTTTCTGTTCCCTAACCTAAAAAAGCACTTGGGAGGTCAAAGATTTTCGACAAACGACGAGGTCAAAGCAGCTGTAGACGCATATTTTGACTCTAAGGAAGAATCATTTTTTTTCAACGGTCTAAATGCTTGGAAGGGGAGGTGGTAAAAGTGTATTGAACTTGATGGTGATTATGTAGAAAAATAAAAATATAACTGATTTAGTATTTGTTTATTTTCTTGGTTAGGCCGAGTACTTTTCAATCCACCCTCGTATGTCCATCAATGGCGGGCACGTGCCTTACATTTACTAGCTCACTGCGATCACTGCCTCTTTTTAATTTTAATTATTTTAGCGCGCCGAATTATTGATGCGGGATTAGGATGAACTTCCTAACTGACGTCCGGGATATCATCCAACAGCCATTCTAATCTAGTTCAGACTGACGTCTGAACTAGATTAGAATGGCTCTCCAGCACTTTGACGGCAAGACCCCAGGCGAGGATGGAATTACAACGGAGCTTCTGAAAGCGGGTGGAAAACCGATTCTTGAAGTCCGTCCTCCATGGTGGAACTACTCCGGAGCCGTGGAGCAAAAGTGCGGTGGTCTTGTTCTTCAAGAAAGGCGACAACGCTCTCTTGAAGAACTACAGACTGATTTCCCTTCTCAGTCGCGGCTACATACGAATCGTCTCGCACGCAGACTTGACGACTTTCAGCCTCCCAAACAAGCCGGTTTCCAAAAAGGCTTTAGTACCATAGACCACATACATACCCTTCGGCAAATTGTACAGAAGACCGAAGAGTACAATCTGCCACTTTGCCTTGCATACGTGAACTATGAGAAAGCCTTTGATCCCGTCGAAATTTGGGTCTCCGTATATCGAAGTGCTGAAGTGTTTGTACAATAGCGCTACAATGGTTATCCGAGTACAGGATCAGAGTACAAAACCTATCCAACTGCAGAGGTGTAAGACAGTGACGTTACATCCCCGAAACTCTTCACCGTTGCATGGGAAGACGTTTTCAAGCTACTGGAATGGAAAGGATATGGTATTAACATCAATGGCGAATACACCTTCGATTTACCAACGATATAGTCCTCGTTGCAGAACCTGCTGGAGGTCCTAAGCACTATGCTCAATGACCTCAAAAGTGGTCTAAACTTATACTTAGGTCTTAAAATGATCCATGAATACATGAAGTTATTGGTGATTATGTTTACCAAGGGCAAATTCACCAACTAGGTACGTCCAACTGTACAAACTAAAATACAACTTGAAAAGGGATACAGATATTTCAGGACTATGTGCTGTGGCATTCCTTGATGTAAGCTTATGTTCAGTAGTAGACTTGTGAAGGACTAAAATGATAAATAATAAAATATATTTAAGGAAATTCCTTCTTGATTATTTGATTATTGCAATCAAAAACAGATATAAAATTACGTGTTATACCACTAGGTTAAAAGAGCACCTCCTGCGCTACTTCAATTGCTTGCACTATGCCCGTGTGCTTTTAGTTTGATAGGGGAATATTTTACAGGCCAAAGGCCAGTGTATTCTATTAAACGTCTGAAATAAACATACTTTCCTTTTCTAAAGACAAAATTGTGAGAAGTTCCACCTAACATTTGTGTTTAACTAAAGAAAGATATTAAAGAATAGTGTCAACCCTGGAAATCTTATGTGGTAGAACTAGCTGTAGCTATATTATGGTTGTAGCACGAATGGGTCGGCTCAACCAGGGTAGGACCACGCTCTCACAGAATACTGCTGCAGTTTAATGCTGCTGTGTTTCATATGATGAGTGTGAAGAACCGGAGATCGTTTTTACTAGCAACAAGGCATTCCATCTAAGTCCATAGGGGTGACAACACATCTGCTTTTTGATTCTCAATTGATGATAAATGTAGATGTCTATGGGCCACCACAGCATCCACTTACCATCAGGTGGACTGTTCCTATAAAATAAAAAAAAATCATACTCAGGTTGGTTGAATTGTGTATTACGATATTAAATTTGAGCCACAATATGCAATACAAGGAAATTATAATTACCTCAAATTCACTCTTCTCATTTGCCTCACCACCCCAAGGTATAAAACCGAGACCTAACGATGGGACAAACTTGCCAGGGGTAAATGAACCCCTATGTGGAGCTCTTATTATATACAGTGCTTCTTTTTCATAACCACCAATAATTGCTCCATCTGGTAACTGATGATCAGCTAGAAACCATTGTGGGTCACCACCCATTAGAGTTTTCAACTTTGGTTTACTTGGCATTGGTGGTACTGAAAGTTTTACTTAAATATAAATTAAGTAGTTTTTGGTATGATTTTACATTATCATACTAAAGTAGACAATCGTTTTTGGGCGCACTAGAAATTTTAATGTTACTTAACTTTATTACACATAAAAATTATTATAGTAAAATTAAAATACCAATTTATTATAGTAAACGGCCTAAGGATTTTATGAAAATTTAACCGGAATCATGAAATCTGAAAAAAGGAGTTGTTTTGATATTCGTATTTTGGCTAAAGTAATATGAAAAAAATATGTATAATGAATGCCCTATACAGTTATCTGTGGTAATGAAGAACGAACTACTAAAAGCATTTTCCATCAACCTTAAAGTGCCTATAAATGCTAAATGTACCTACAACTTTATTTAATACTATTATATACTATTAATTATTGACCAGTGCACTATTTTAACTTATAATACCGGTGAAAACTACTGGACAATCGCTTATAGTTTTGTAATAGTTTGTTTTTAGGTTATTGTGCTAAATTTGCATCAACATTGTGTCAAAATTGACGTTACCATGCACATCATCTAGATGCTTAGTTTGCGCAATTTACTTCCTCGAGTTTTCTTACTCGTATGACTTCTCTGTGGAATTGTTTACGACCAGTGACTTTTTCGAACCGATACGACTTAGGGACCTTCAAGAAACGAGCTTACTCCTTTTTAAACGGTTTGGCATCGTGCCTACAATTCCCCTTTTATTGCAGTTGTTCATGAGCAGCGGTAATCACTTACCATCAGATGCGCCGCATGCTCGTTTGCCACATCTATATAAAAAAGTAAAAATATGGTAAGTATTTCTATATTTAGGCAATGCATCAGTAGGTATATTATACATATACATTGCATATATCACTTTCTTTACATTCGACTTGACTAAATATTGTAAATATCATAACTACCTAATTAATATAGAATTTAACTCCATCATTGTATATTAAATGACAACACAATTTATGTGAAGTTATGCTTCACATAAATTCAACATAAATTTAAATAATATAATGAAATAATTTAATTATAGCAGTGTAGTAGATTTAATAGTATCTATATTTGTATATATTATAAATAGTATACTTAAATAATACTTTAGGAATAGAAGAAGAAAGTGAAACTAACATTCAAACTTCCAATGCACAGAATTTCTTGCTCTTCTTGTTCGTACATCAAATGTAATGTAATTCAAACCTGGAACTTTATTTGCACATATAATAATTGGGGTACTGTCCTCTCCATGACCAAGCCTTATAAAGCCTCCATTCCATGCGATCCAAAATTTTCGATATTCTTCTGCACTGAGAATATCAGGAGTATGAACCTTTGTTCGAGGTTCAGTCCCTTTCTTTATATAACTGTGAGGATGATTACTTATAACAATCTGAAATTGTAATTTTATAATGAAGAAAATTAATGGAATTCAGTTGTATTACATATAAGTTGTGTGTACCAATTGCAAGCCATGATAGCCTTTCTACTTAGTGTAGTAGTAGAAAAATTCCAAGAAAGTGTTTTATATACACCCTTATAATAGAAAGCAAAATTATATCACAACACCTTTATATGTGGTAGAACCATGTTACAGCTATTTGAACAGTACAGTTGTAGCGTTAATGGGTTGGAACCAGAGAAGGACTACACTCTCACAGAATACCAGCGTAATATAGCAGCTTAATGCTGCTGTTTCGTTTAGTGAGTGTAGAGAACCGGAGACCCTTTTTACTGGAAAAGAGGCATTCCATCTCAGTTCTCACAGCTGACAATGCACCTGCATTTTATTCACAAATGAGGATAGATGTAGATATCTATGGACCATAGCAACCACTTACCATCAGGTGAACTGTGTGCTCATTTGTCACCCTTATCCTAAAAAAAAAACACAATACCCATTGATTATTTCACCTTTAGTTAATTTGTGTACAAATCATGGTGTTAAATATATTAGTGAATGTGTATGTATATAATTAACAACTTACTTATAGAAGAAAAAAATTGTTTTAATAGAGAAGTCTATGTGATCATGACGTCTATATGGCAAGCCATGGTTACTGCTTGCATTGGAAAAGTAATGCAGCAGTAATATATTTAAACCATTCACTAATATTACTTCATATAATAATTATGAGCTTACCCAATAATCACAAGTAATAGGGTTTGGTTTTTTAGATAAACCTATCACAGCATTTCGAGAAGCTTTTACAAAGAAAACCAAAGCACTACTTGTAATTTCATAAAAAACATTTTGGTGATCAGGCCATGTACATATTTCTGAAAAAAAATTGTACTATATTGAACACAACAAGTGAGAACATACTATCAATTTATTTTTTTATTAATTATACTTAAGATATTCCTTTTTCTGTGTCAGTGATAGCCTACATACATTTCACAGCAGGACCTCTCTTATATCTGAGATTATTGTTGGAATTAACTTGTTACACATTATATTATATAAATTTTTACAGAAATTTAACAAGCTTCCTTTAATTTCAATGCATACAATCAATACTGATTATAGAATGGAGACAAAGACTGCAGAGCACAGAGTACATTGTATATACATGAACTGCAGAGGCAGTCACTATAGTACTAATGATTAAAAAAAACTATATAAGTAAATCACAATCAGGAAATTATCAGTAGCAGCCTGGAATCAAGATTTAGGTGGTGTTTCAACGCCGTACCCCAGAAAGCACGTAAAGCTAGTCGTGTCGGATTACCGTCTTTTCGAAGGACAAAACACCTGGCATTGCACTATGAGTGCATCTGTGTTTGCATAATATACACTCGTGGACGATAATACTGTCAGCGTTCAGCGCAGATGGCTTGCCTCCGAGGAGGCAATGCCATTTTAAATATTATTCCAATAAATACATGCACATTGTTGGTACTTGAACAAAATAAATTCTAGGCTAATAGACAATCGAAAAATAATAATTTTAGAAAGCAGGAACTTTTACCGACGGTATCCCCCATTTTATATGATTAACAATCGATAGTCCCTTCTTTCCTTAGATTATTCTTTCATTACTTTATTACATGCATATAGAAGCAAAATCAAAACTTTTAATTAAAATTTAAAACACTTGTTGATTGTTGTAGTTGTAGTCGTAGAGGTAGTTGCTTGTAGACATGGGTAAGTAATGCGTGTAATATTACACGAGTAATATTACTCGGAGAAGTGATGCAACATTACTCATTACGCGTCAAATCCAACCATTACACATCACTCACATCACCCGCCCGAAACCATGAAACGAAAAAGGTCGCGCGCGATCGGTGTCGTTCGGGCAGCGCGAGCTTCGCGCTGCCCCGCGCTTGTGGTCCGCCAATTCCTGGAATTTCTCCGTGTAATGTATGCAATTTGGTTGTTTATTATAAATATACAAAGGACCATTTCTCCGTAATTATTTTTATGCATTAATGATTTAATGTAATAAAAGGTTAGCTTATTTAGATTTGTTTGAGTCAGGTCAGATGTCAGTCGGTCAGTGTTGTATTTTACTAAATAGTAATTGCACGCGTACGTACGTTAGTTACGAGAGATAGTAAATTCGGAATTAACTGGTGGTCGTAATTAATTATTACGTACAGTAGGTATTGTATTACTAAAACTTTTTTTCATCTTAAAACTATTTAATTAAAGACGAAGTATAAATACAAAGTGTAATATTAACTTATTTGCTCAAAAAGAATGTTCGATACGATATTCACAATAATTACTTAAAACTTGTTTTGTTGCATTACTTCTCAAGTGATACGAGTGTTGTCCGTCGAATGTGATCGATAGATACCAGTACTATTGTCGGTACTCAGTTGCCTGTAATGCCAAAATCTCGAGTGATGTTTAGGGTGATGGTAATATCACAAAGTGATATCACTCTAACAAAAGTGATGTGTGATGTTGCATCACTTCTTCGGGTACCGTTTTGCACATGTCTAGTTGCTTGCTACCACGGGCAGTAGAGATGGGTAACTCAGGAGAGATAGATACAAAAGATATAAATCAATCCGTTTCCATCAATCACTCTTTATATCCATCCGCATCCGAATGTATCACTGTATCAGTGTATCTTTACAACCTATTCACTCAAGACATCTTTTAACTTTTTCTAACATCTGTGTCGCACATTGCGCACACTGCTTTCTATTATACCTCGGCCGGCACGGCCGGTCGTTCCAGGAAGATTTCGGAAAGTCCATAGTACAGACGTTTCTTTCGCAGGTCACTATTTAGAATGTTCTATTGCGCTTTGGCAAAACGGAGAGAGTGAGTTGTTTGACCATTATAAACTGTAATACGTTAGCACAAAAAGGTAAATTGATAACTCTATGACTGGTGCATAGGGCTTAAAGTCATTAAGCGGTACGTTAACATTTAAGTATTATACTGGTTTGAACTGTACCTATGTGTTCTTTGCCTATAAATTTTTTAGTAAACAATGCAAACTAATTTCTGTTATAAAAACATAGTTTTTAAGAAAGTTTTATAATCGAAATTAATAGTCGTTTATATCCATAAAAAAGTAGAAAAAATATTCGTGATTTACAAAATTAAACAAATATATCAGTTTGCTTCATTAGTTCAACCTTAATCTAGGTTTGGAAACGAGAGTAATATTGTTTGCGTTAATTGCATCGAATAGAAAAATATTTGTTTTGTACACTTAGCGACTGTTTAATTTAAAGGTAGGTAAATAAGACATTCAGTGTAAATAGTTTAAAGTGTTTTTTGTTCTGTACGTACAGTTAATGAATGTTTCATTTATTTCAAGTGTAAATAATTTTGCGCAGTTAGTGTTTTATTAATAAAAAAATGGGTTCACGAAAACGAAGCGCAGTGTGGAATCATTTTGAGGAAGTAAAACCAAAAAATAGCAAAATTGCCTTTATTGTGCGAAGATGCTAAATGTACCCGCTGGAAATTGTAGTAACCTTCCCCACAGTACCCCTCGTAGCTAAAAGACAGCCAACGCAGCAGTCATGTTTTCCAGGAGCCGAAACTATATAATATATATTTTCTACAAGTTAATACAAACAATACCTAGCCTACCTACGTTATTTACGTTAATCATTAATTTAATTATTATTTTAAACTAAAAATTTAAGTTAATTTCTCGAATAAGTGCCTTTTAATATTTATCAATCATAACAATACGCAAGCAACCCGGGTTCAATCCCCGTCCTCATCAATGAAATTGTTAATTGCAATTTTAAGTGCAGATTTACCACGTGCTCGGCGATGAAGGAAAACATCGTGAGGAAACCTGCATGTCTGAGAAATATGAAAACTTTAATTTTTTAATCATAACAAATAGATACCTAGAAAGAAACAACAGCCAAATATATCAGAAAGATACACAATGTTACGACCAAGCAAAATGCAAACAGCTCTATAGGTACTTATCTATCACTCTTACTGATAGGATTGAGTTGAGCGAAGCGAGCCACGCTGAGTGAGCAACGCAACGTAATGCGATGCGTGTCGTGAAAGCGAGCTTGATCTACTGATACATAAGGATATAAAGATATAAAAGAGTGATACATATCCAAGTGATCAAAAGATACATATCAATCTTTTCTTTTAAGTGATACACATTGCCCATGTCTAACGGGCAGTAATCTTTAGTTCTTTAGCTTGCTACATATATATTTATCTATGGTAATCTTCAATCTTCATAGAGAAAATCAAAGAGAATATAACCACTAGAGAAAATATTGGACATAGGAAATGTCATAGCAAGATGTTGTTGTTGTTGTTTTTATTATTCGCTCGAGAGATCAGGCAAAGGAACTAAGCCATACAGCCTTGTCTTTTTAATTTTTAATTTATAGAATTTTAGAGTGTAAAGGCCGGAACCAAGTCTTATTTTTCTTCTTTCCATCTCTTCAAAATCCATAAAGGCCGTAGTCAAGTCTTTATATTATACTCTTTGTAAATTTCAATCCATGTAGATTTGTCAATCCAATATTTTCAAAAACAGGGATACCATATTTCATATTTCTTTTACAGTATTATGAATAAAATTGCTAAGTGCTAAATATGTCTTAGTAACATCTTGCAGGGCACGCGGGACGCTTTCTGAGTTTTCATAAACTTGTATAAGTTTTTCAATGAGCAGCAATCTTTCTATGGCGTACGCTGGGCAGTTGAATATGTTCTGCAGTCTGATCTGCTTCTGTATCGCAGAAATTGCATGTTGCAGATGCTACTATTCTCATCCTGGAAAGATGAGCGTTCGGTCGATAGTGGCCAAATCTAAGTCTGCACATTATTGTATAAAATTTTCTGCTATGATATCTTCGCATATCGATGCGAGAAAACCAAGGAATACATAATTCTGAATTAATTGATGCGTACCAACGACCGTTTCCTGCCTCTAAAACAGCATTCCATTGTATTTTCCATTCTTCTTTTAACTCTTGCTTTAAAATTGAATATAAATCTGTATGTGGTATTGCAACATCGGTTATCCTGTCAATATCACCTGTAACTATACTTTTAGCTAAATGGTCTGCTCTTTCATTTCCTTGAACCCCAATATGTGACGGAGTCCATAAAAATTTTACTTCTAAATTATTTTCTTTCAATTTCCACCACAAACTTTTGATTTCATATATGACAAAAGACGTTTTAGCATCTAAAGCTCTTGCCTTCAGTGCCTTCAAGACACTCATGCTATGAGAGATCAGTAACCATTTATTAGATACATGTGGGTGTTCTTCTATATATTCAAGCGCGATTAAGACAACATAACATTCTGCAGTGTATATGCTTGCTAATGCAGGAATGGAAAGGCCACGTCCAGTTTTCAGATGAGGTATGTAAAATGTACAGGTTACTTTATTTTCAACTTTTGAACCATCTGTGTAAATTTGTCGATATTCATCATATGTAGATTTTTTTTATAGGAGAGGGGGCAAACGAGCATGCGGCTCACCTGATGGTAAGTGACTACCGCCGCCCATGAACAACCGCAACACCAGGGGAATTGCAGATGCGTTGCCGGCCTTTTAAAAAGGAGTAGGCTCTTTTCTTGAAGGTCCCTAAGTCGTATCGGTCCGGAAAAATCGCTGATGGTAATCGATTCCACAAGGAAGTCGTGCGAGGAAGAAAACATCACACAAGATATAAGTTCATAAACCTCTTCTTTTCTTTTCAATTTTTCATCAATATTTATGTGCATATCAGTGAATTTACTTTCATAATTCCCCTTATAACAAGGCCAAGTATGTGTGCTTTTGTGAATATTATATTGTTCATCATATCGTATGACTTCATGAAAGTCATGGGGTATATATGGGGCTGAGTTAGATATAGGAGACATACTATTATAGTAAAATAATACTTTTTGAAAAAGAGGATGATGAGACAAAGAATTAATATTTAATAAAAACCTAAATTTCAGATATTTAAACCTAAGTAAGATTGGAGGAGTAAGACATTCAGCCTGTAAAGAAACAATAGGAGTTGTTCTCATAGAGCCGGTAATAAGTCTTAAATTCTTGTTTTGTATATTTTCTAATTTGTTTAATAGTTTTTTATTTGATGCAAAACAAAGAAAACCGTACTCAAAATGGCTCCTCACCAAAGACTTATATAACATTAATAATATTTCTGGATCAGCTCCCCAGTTAGTACTAGCCAAAGCTTTTAATACATTAAAGGCCTTAGAAGCTCTGTCTGAAATAGAATTCACGTATTTGGTCCAAGATAAATTATTTGTAAAAATTACACCTAAGAATTTTGCACAACTTTCTATTGGTAAAAATGTATTATTATAAATTATTCTAGTGGTTAAGTGTTAAAGCTAATGGTTTGAAACTTGCAATAGGTACCGCGTATCGTCCTCCTTGGTTTCACATTGATACTTTTATAAATGATCTATCTGATACAGTCAGTTCATTTTCAGCCTATGACTACATTGTATTGTTAGGAGATTTCAATATTAATTTGCTTGCACCCTCAGATCCTAATTCAAAAAAACTCAATGATTTTCTACTGTGTATGGGTCTGAGGCAGCACGTCACACAAGCGACTCATTTTACTGATCACTCTGAAACTTTACTTGATTTGATTTGCAGTAGCTGTGATGTATTTAATATACAGGTTGACTATGTGCCAGATCTGAGTCATCACGCTATTCTATCTTGTGAGTTGAATGTAAAGAAGCTAAAGCAAGTGTGAACATGTATTACTTATAGACCGATTAAGGATATAAACGTACCAAAATTTAATTCTGATGTTGATGCTGTACTGTGGGAAGAGTTGCTTTGTAATGACGTAAACTGTTCTGTAACGGCTTTTAATTCACAAATACTGTATCTGTTTGATATTCATGCACCAATAAGAACATCTTACATTAAAGGCCATAGCTATCCGTGGATCACACCAACGATTAGGGAAATGATGAAGCTAAGAGATAAAGCTCACGCAAAATGTAAAGGCATTAATTCCAAAGGTGACACAAAATATTATAAAGATCTGAAGAGTACTGTTAACGCTGCTATACTGAGTGAAAAAACAGCCTACTTTCGTTACTTTATGAATAACAATTCAAAAAACCCTCAAATACTTTGGAGAAATATAAAGATAAATGTGGTAGACTTCAAAAATAAAGATATTGATTTGCCATCAAACTTGAATGATCCTGACATCATAAATCATCATTTTCTACACATACTAGGAAGCAATAGTGTAAATCCTTCAACATTATGCTATTTTGAATCTAACCG